TAGACAAAGGAGACGGCTGAGCAAAGGCTAAGTATGAGTTCTAGAGTGGAGAGGAGCCAGGTAGAGAGGGAAGGAGGGTTGGCCAGAAGAAACCAGGCCCACATCCCATAGAGCCTGGCAGGCCAGTGTGAGGAGGTAGGATTTTGATGATCTGCCCAAGGTATTCTTTTTTTTTCTTTTTAATTGTACATATTTGTGGGGTACAGTGTGTTGTTTCAATACATGCATATATTGTACAATGATTCACTTAGGGAGAACTACCCTGACTGCTGTGCAGGGTTCATAGCTCCCTAGGGTTCACAGTTCCTGCAGTGATTCAGGTGAGAAATGAGGGCACTTTGACCAGAGTGGAAATAAAGGAGATGACCAGAAGCAGACAGGTTCTGGACACATTTTGAAGTTCAAACCAACCGCATTTTCTGCCTTACCATGCAGCTAATCAAATTATCAGTTCACAAGGTTTTAGGAGGGATAAAATAAGAAACTGCATTTAACTTGTTTGGCACTTTTTGAGCTCTTTCCATCAAAATGCACATCTGCTTCAGTAATCAACGCACTTCTTTAAAAAATTATGATATACAATTGTGTAAGCAAATTTTAAGTCGTTCACTGTAACTTCTACACATTTTTGTAGACCAACACGTGTTGCCCATCATTAATTCTGGAGCCTTCCTGCATCTTATCCAGACGGGGCTGCCCCTGCCCAGGTCTGCAGGCAGCACCACCGCTTCTCCAGGCTCAACCAGGTCTCATACCCCATGCCCGTCTCTCTGGGGCAGACCTTTGCAGCCTCCTCCCCAGGGTGAGAGGGGGTCCCGCACTCTTGCCCATTGTTGGCAGCTACGAGCCTCCCTGGGAGCACCCGACCAGCCCCAGCCCGCACAGGGTTCCAAGAGAGCAGTGGGGCAGCGAGGTGGGGGCTGTCTGGTGCTGGAGATTAATGTAGCACGTGACTTCCCAGCACCAAGTATCCGAGTACCACGGGAAACTCCCTTTATCCCTTGCCTCATGCCACCTTTGCCCCGGAGCGAGAGAGCTCTGATCAGGACAGCAGGAATGGTAAGAATTTAGGTTTTCCACTTTCCCCTTTTTATTTCCCCTTGTTTTCCAGGTAGAAATCTGTACTCCATTTACTCTTTTTGATTTTCGGCAGATTGAATAAGATATGATCCGGTGTAGTTTTTTGTGAGTTTTTTTGGGGGGTGGTGGTGTGCATTTATCCTGCTTAGTGTTCTCTGAGCTTCCCGGATCCCTGGTTTGGTATCTGACATTCATCTGGGGAAGTTCTCAGTCTTTTTTTTTTTCCCCCAGTCATTATTGATTCAACTATTTCTTCTGTTGCCTTTTTGTCCTGGTATTTGCATTATGTATAGGCTATATCTTTTGCAGTTGTCTCATCCTTCTTGGATATTCCAATTTTTTTCAGCCTTTTTTTCTCTTTTGCTTTTCAGTTTTAGAAGATTCTATTGATATTTCCTTAAGCACAGAGATTCTTTCCTCAACCTTATCCAGTCTTTTGATGGTTTCATCAAAAGCATTCCTTATTTCTGTTAGTTTTTGATCTCTAGCATTTCTTTTTGATTCTTTCTTAGAATTTCCATCTCTCTGCTTACATTACCTATCTGTTCTTGCGTGCTGTCTACTTTTTCCATGGGAGCCCTCAGCATATTAATCATTGTTGTTTTAAATTCATGGTTGATAACTGTACTTGTTTCAATATACGGTCTGATAATTCCAACATCCCTGCCATTTCTGACTCTGGTTCTCATGCTTGCAGTCTCTTCAAATTGTATTTTTTTCCCTTTATTACATCTTGTAATTTTTTTGTTGAAAGCCAGACGATGTACTAGGTAAAAAGAATTCCTGGGTGGATATGCCTTTAGTGATAAGCTGTCGAAGTGTGGGGGAAGGAGAAGAGTTCTATAGTCCTCTGATTAGGTCTCAGTTTTTTTCTGAGCCTGTGCCCCTGGGCTATAAACTTCACCAGTAATTCTCAGGTTTTCCCACTCTTAGGTGGGACAGGATGGCTTGAGAGGGCTGGAGTTGAGTATTTCCAATCTCCCAGATCAGTTAGGCTCTGCTAAAATAGTTTCTCTTGAAGATAGTTCTAGTGAAAGGTAGAATGTTCTGGTGTATTTCAAAATGGCTGCTTTCCCCTCCCCCTATTGAAATTAGGAGCGGATTTTTCTGTAATCTTCACTGTGAGACCCTGGTAGCGTTCCTGGAGGTAAGACTCATTCAAGTGTGGAGACCCTCTCTGACTGAATCCTCCTGGAGTTTTTAACTCTCAGACTTGTCAACACAAGTTCATCAATTACAGTTCACAATTTTCCTACCCTGGCGCTGGTAATTTCTGCCTGTGGGTTTTTGCTTTGGTAAGTTGTGATTCTTCATATCTGCCTGTGACTCAAAT